AGTTTCATTTAAAGAGCTTTTTGTGCAGCATGGAGTGGATTTCCTTTCACTGTGGGCTCCAAAGCACAGTAGTAGAGAGCGGAGTCAGTGACAGCAGCAGAGGAGATCTTCAGATCCACACTACTGTTGTCTTTTCTGTGATTAATTGAGACTCCAGCAACTGGAGGATCAGCTTTAGTAACTGTCCCATAGGACTCCAGGATGAGGAACTTTGGTGGTGAACCTGAGTATTGACGATACCAGTGAAGACCTTGAACAGAACCAGTGTAGCTACAAGAGAGTGTCACACTGTCACCCTCAACAGCAAACTTCACTTGGTCCAATTCTATTAGCAAATCCACCTGAAATGCAGTGAATCATATTTTTAAATACCCTGATGTATAATGAAGTTATTTTGTCAATAAAAGTAATATTAGTTTAAATTAATTGATTCAAAAAATATAATTAATTGTGATAAAAAAACATATTTACCTGAAACTGTGATGAGCATTATGAGTATCATCTGCCTCTCCTCCATCTTAACTGAAATCCACTTTAAAGATCAGATTTTAATTGTCTAATACTTCATTTACATAAATATAATTGATTTATTAGATTATCATTATTAACTTACAGAATTTGTTAGCTCCAAATTATGCTGAATGTGGCTTTATAAAATGAATAAAAATATAAGAGTAGCTGATGGTTGAATGAAAGCACTGAGAACTGAGTGAAGTTCTGTTGTGTATGAATAATGTGGGTGTGGGTTAATGAAATATGAAACACGTTCTCTGTGCCTTCAAATGTATTTCTTATAGACAGACAATTCCTGCACTTGAATTTAAAACATCTCAACCATCACTTAAAAACAGCAAAAACCATTAGGAGGATAACACAAGGTGTCTAACAAGTACTACAACAGTCAATTGTATGTTTAAAGTGCATTTTATCATGTTGTACTCTACTGGTAATACTTGGAAACACTGACATTTGTCTGGTGTGTTTGTTTAAATACACAGTAAAATATACTATATTATTCTAAATCACCCTTATTTGTATTTGCACTAAACTGGCTAATGAAATGTTTGCATGCTTCATAGACTCATATAAAATATGCATAAAAACTAAATAATTTATAATTATTTCTAAAATAATTTATAAATCATTATTAACTTACAGAATTTGTTAGCTCCAAATTATGCTGAATGTGGCTTTATAAAATGAATAAAAATATAAGAGTAGCTGATGGTTGAATGAAAGCACTGAGAACTGAGTGAAGTTCTGTTGTGTATGAATAATGTGGGTGTGGGTTAATGAAATATGAAACACGTTCTCTGTGCCTTCAAATGTATTTCTTATAGACATCAGGTGCTTGTTTAGTGTGAATAAAACAGCTTGCGAAATAATGTTGCCCTCTTCTGTTGGAGCTCAGAACAGCATGTTTTGTGCAGTTGCTTTACCCTGTGCTTTAAAATGTGCCGTCTAAAATGGTAAATGTTTTTGAATTAATTTTATTGACAATTACTTTTAATTACAATCATTGTTTGGCTCACACGTTATGCATATAACACGTTTTATGTCCTCATAAAAGTAATAATCTGTCTTTCACTTTCAGCCACAGAATATTTTCACAGTATGAGAGTTTCTTAAGGATCTACTAATATAAGAACTTTATAATAAATATCTGTGTGATTTAAAAAAAAAAAAACATAAACCTCATCCTCATCTCTCACGTTCAGTTTCATTTAAAGAGCTTTTTGTACAGCATGCAGTGGATTTCCTTTCACTGTGGGCTCCAAAGCACAGTAGTAGAGAGCGGAGTCAGTGACAGCAGCAGAGGAGATCTTCAGATCCACACTACTGTTGTCTTTTCTGTGATTAATTGAGACTCCAGCAACTGGAGGATCAGCTTTAGTAACTGTCCCATAGGACTCCAGGATGAGGAACTTTGGTGGTGAACCTGAGTATTGACGATACCAGTGAAGACCTCGAACAGAACCAGTGTAGCTACAAGAGAGTGTCACACTGTCACCCTCAACAGCAAACTGCAAAGCACTGTATGGTGTGATGACCTCTGCTGCTCTGGAACCTGCATTTAAAGTGTAAATTTAAAGTTTAAAAAACAAAAAGAAGACAAGAAAAATATAACTCCTCTTTCAAATTTGCATTCTCAATTCAAATGCAAAAAAATGTATATGCTTAATAATGCAATGTTTTATTAGCTTGGTTAACTAAAAAAGCATTTCTGAGAAGCCAGGTTCTTGTTTCAGTAAGAGAATCATTATTTATATAAAAAATAAATAATGTTTTTATCCTAAAATGTTTTCATCACCTTTTTAAGAATGTTTCAGTATACCCTAATTTCAGTTATACCCTACCTGGAGCTGATGATAGTAATATAATTACATAGATAAACATTTTGGCACAATAATCAGGTGTGAACTGCAGACACAGAAACATCAGATGATCTAAAGAGACTTGTGAAATGCTGAAAGTCCTAATGTACAACATCTGTGCTAAACTCCTCCTACTCAAATTGACAACATTCAGCCCTCATCTCACACAATATACATTATGAAATTTTATTTAAAACAATCCCACATATTGAATAAAATAAACAATATTAATAAATAGATATAGATAGCTAGATAAATGACAAGTTACAACATGTTTCAGTGTCACATGCATTTTTGGAGGGATATTATTTAATATAAACATGATATAGATTTTGCATGTTGGGCAGAAATGAGGGTTCTGTAACTATAATTATCCAGATTTGCAGAAACAATGTTTATGTTGCTTAAGTTTAAAATGAAGACTATTTAATACATTTTATTTTATAACGTTGTATAAAATATACATGAAATACATATAATAAAATGTCAGTAGAAATATCCTGCATGCTTTAATACTTTCCTGAAATACAGGTTTTTGCACAGTGTAGTTTGTTTTCCTGTGACTGTGGGCTGCAGAGCACAGTAGTACAGAGCAGAGTCTGATACTTTAGCAGAGGAGATGATCAGATCCACATGGCTTTCTTTTTTTCTGTGTTTGATGGTTATTCCTGGAACGGGTGGATTAGCTGGAGTTGTAACCCCTGAATCTTCCAGTATGAGGAACTGCGGTGGTGATCCTGCGTATTGCCGATACCAGTGAACACCACGAGCAGAAGCGCTGTAGTTACAGGAGAGTGTCACATTGTCACCCTCAAGAGCAAATTCTTTGTCACGTTTTGGAGTGATGACTTCTGAGGCTCTGGAACCTGCAAATGAAAGTGGTGTTAAAATATAGTTATCAAACACTTCCACTGGAATAAATGATGGGCTTTTAACTTTTAACATATTATACCTTCAGTTGATGACAGCAGTATAATAATATAGATCAACATGTTCATTCACTACACTGGTAAGAACAAGCTAAAAACAGAGCAGCTGCTCCACACAGTGTTGAGTGATGTTCATCTTTACCCAGCTGTATGCTGTATAGTGTCTGCGCTAAACTCCTCCTCCTGTCCTGACAATGTCCTGAATTACAATGCACCAAAGATTAAAAGAGCATTCATAGCTGTTTAAATATATGTTATTTCTTTAAATTCTTTGTTTTTTATATCAATATTGTATTGCCATTTTGCTCAAATATGTGAGCTTCTATAATTTTTAATGAGACTTCTTATACAACATAATATGAGAAAAGAGATAACCTAACAAACAAGCTAACATGAGCAAAATATGCAATACATCGTATTCACATGCCCTTATGTAACCCTTTTAACCTCCCAAATTCACAGCTGTTACCACATTCCCTGTTTGTTTTTTACAAAAACGTTATGTGTTTTGATACTGATTGATTAAAGACTCTTCAAAGTATTAATTTTGTGTGAATTCTTGTAAAGCTTCTCTGGCATTTTGCATCATTGGGCTCCTACTCTTAGTGCACAATAATACAGAGCTGAATCTGACAGAGCTGCTTTTACAATAGTAAGTTCAGTGGATGACTGGGATGTAGTTGATTGAAACCCATCTGGTATATCCTTAGAACTGCTCCATGATCGAGTGCCTTTATACAGTAAATATTCTGGTTCTCTGTTTGGATATTGTCTGTACCAGTAAAGATAAATATCATTGCTGTTAGTTTCAAATGTGCAGCTCAGTGTCACAGACTCTCCTTCTTCTCTGATTATATTAGTGTCTCCTTCTCTTGGTTCAATTGTATTAGCAAATGAACCTGAAATGAA